GTGTGTATATATGTATGTATATATATATACAGTATTATATATATATTATATATATATATACATACATATCATATATGCATTATAACATATATACATATTTATGTATATATACACACATATACATATATACATACTTATATATATACACATATATACATATATATATACATAATATATAGACATATATACGTATATATATATATATATATACATAATATACATACTTATATATATACATACTTATATATCTACATATATACACATATATATACACACATATACATACTTATATATATATATACATACTTATGTATATATATATATATATACATACACATATATATATAATAATAATAATAATAATAATTTTGGCTTATATAGCGCATTATGCTAAAGCCTCAATGCGCTTAACAGTAAAAATAAAATTCGGGGGAAAAAATTTAAGAAAAATACAAGTATACATACTTATATATAAAGTTAAAAAGGTGAGTTTTTAAAGCTGCCTTAAAATCATCAATGGAAGTTGCCTGTCGGATTGTAATAGGCAGAGCATTCCAAAGAAAGACAGAAGCCCAAGAGAAAGAACGACTACCATAATGCTTTGTATTTATATACATATATATATGTTTTTATTATATTACTTTAAAGTATTTAACATTACTGTTATAAAATGTATAATTGCTCTAAATAAATATTATATTGCTGCTGTGAAATGTGATACGTTGAGGTAAGAAATAAAATATAAATTATTTGTATAGATTGATTTAATGTGTTTCGTTGATTACAGGGTGTTGGACTACAACGAACTAACAACACTCTTGGGGAATCCGTTTAAAGGCTTACTAAGTTTATATTGGCTGTAAGTTCACCCAAGTTATTACTGCCTTTCACACGTCATGAATACGTGGATATGTCATGAGTATCATGGAGGAGAAATAATTTATCCTTAATTGTATTTAATTGTTTACTACGAATATTTATTTGTGTCTGATTGTGTTTTATTTATTTTTTTTTCTTTTGTATTTTGTTACCGTATTTTTTTTTTCTTCTTTAAAGTTGTTTAATTTAGAATTAGTGTATACAAATCCACATTCAGGTATATCAAGAAAAGTAATAATAATCTGCTTGTAAGCCTAGACGAGACGCTAATATTTATTTGAAAGATCACTTAGACATTAACGCTGTTTAAAATCATTTCTTTAGATCTGTCCGACATAATAAAATCAACGACGCCAATATCCGGACCGTCTTGGAAAACTTGCCGTCATTAGCTTGGCTGTGAGTAAAGAGCTTTTATAGTAATTTATAAACTACCAGACGTTAAGTATCCATAATGAATGGATGATATAGTCTCAATCTTCCTTTGTTTATTCTCAGAGAACTGGATCACAATAAAATCACAAGAATTGAAGCGGAAGATTTTGCACGAGACACACCAATGTCGACATTGTAAGTCCTGTAATTTTCAATATATATGTATTCTGATTATATTATTTCCATAGCTATTATTATTAATAAATTACAAGTTAGAGATTTATATATTGTTTAATTTATTTTTTATTGTGCTCCAAACCAGTTAAACCCTCTTGTCACACAAGTAAATATATACTTTTATCTAGTTGATTGCAATATCTTTAATGAGACAATTTATAACATTTTTTTTGTATAGTACATACAAAATACCGCAGTGTATAGTATACAACAAATTTGCTAGTAGTTCAAGAAAATGCAAATTGATCATAAACATGTCAGAGGGCTTCTTATAGACGTAATATAGCAGTAATACCGTGGATAATAATATTAATTTAGCTAATCTTATGATCAGGATGTAGCAAAGTTACAAGAGTTTAGAAGAAGTATGTCTAACCATGGAGGTATTATTGTTAGTACCTCCAAGAGCAGTAGGACTATTAGTGAATTTGAAAGATATTTTTCTTCTATTGCTTAGAGAACAGTTTTTTAAATATTATGTCAATAAATTAGATATAAAAACCCAGTGCATTATAGTTGTCTTGTGGATTCAAGCTTATTCTTGATTTTGAAGCTTTGAAAGTTTTTGTGTTATGATTAGGTCAATTTGTTTCTTGATTATGTTAGAAACATTGAGGTAGAATCGGCTGTTGTTCAGCATCAATGATTTGCGCATACTATAAATGCTTTGGTCATCTTCAATTAGCGGCAGATCTGACGAGCTGGTTATTATTGTCTCCCATATATTTTTGTCTGATTAGGTGTAGCCCTACGATCAGTTACGAGTTCTTTTTTTCAGTTTTGACTCTTTTTTTTCTTCAATGAGTTCTAGATTCTAGTTATTGAGTTTGAAAACGTGAACTAGCGCTTGATTGATATCTCGGTAACAACACAAACTGCATTATACGCCTACTCTAAAGTTAAGACTTAGTATTCCATTTCTCTAATTACAATTATAGTCCTAAAAGAGCCCAGCCTGAGATTGTCTGAATCAAGCGTTCTTTTACCTGTGGTAATTGGTGGAAATTGACAAAAGATGATTTTTA